TACAAGCATCCTTTCAACAAAAATCATTAGTTAGTTTTTATTTGTATCTTTATTGTAAAATTATGATCATTTTTCTGCAATAGGTCATTGTCGGATGAAAATTTGGCAAAACAACTGTCCGGTGAGACCTTAGAGAATCCATTTCCGGAATATGTAGCAGTACCTCGATGTATATTTTATACAATGGGAATCCTTATCTACAATCTATCTAAAGCAAAATTACAACCATATTTAATGAACAAATTACTGAAGCACGCCTTATTACATTTTCATACTTTTTAGTCACGTGCTCATATATCATAATGATAAACATGCTTTGATAAAAAAAAATCTAGTTTTGATTTTCATTTCCCTCGTGTTAAAATCTATGTACCTCTATTTTCAAATACAAATACAATGAATATAATTTATAGTCTGTAATAGTGTTTAAATACGAATTTTTATGCATAAGAAATATCATCGGCGAACGTGTGCATGACGTTAATTTATTTCCGAAATCATCTATCTCTGGTAATATTCCTGAAAACAGTCGTTAAATTTCCGGATTGTTTAACAAAACTTATTAACAGGGATGAAAAAGAAAACACAATCTCAAAACCCAAATGTTAGATAAAGTAAACATAGTATCTCGATATTTACTAGCGACACAAAAAACCATTACAAAATCTTTAGTATGATGTATTAATTATTAGTTACTGACTGCTGGGGTGCCGTTGGATGAGTCATTTTTGACACGAAAACAATGTTCTTGTCCCACGGTTATTGTCGCCTTAACGTCGTTATCGTGTCAAGAACTCACATACCTGTGAAGAAGGAACGGACAAGAACAGCAATGGTGGATCACGACGGGTGTGATGTGCCGTGATTGTTGTTCTGAGTTTAATGCCAGTTGCTAGTGCGAGAACACTCACGAACGTTTAGGTGAGAATATCAAATGAGGTCATTCAAAAAAGACCATTGAGAACGTCTTCAAACTTATGACACATTGCCGACCTCTGACACCCCCCAACCCCCCCAAAAAACAAAACAAACTGCTTCATTGACGAGCTTTGAAAATAGATTTTGTCGCTGAGACACGCGACAAATACTGTTAATACCGGTCTACAGCCAAAATGCTTACAAAATAAATGTAGTCAAAAGTTACTAATTGTGGGTCACTGAGAACGAAACTGATGCTTTAAATTGTTGATTGGCTTTAGCTTTAAAGATATGATACTGGGTCAGAATATATGACCCTTGACTTGGGAATGGCTGTGGATAAGTGAGTTATAAAGACAAAGAATCTCAGTTTAAACCATAAGTGACTAAAATAATCTTTGTTGGGATCTATAAATAAATCTATGACTGCGTTTGGACAGTACTTGTTTTTTTTGGCAAAACAATGTATGATGCAATCTGAAGCTGGTATTGCGTCATACATGACGTGAATTGCATCATGTTATTCCTAGAAGTCATGGATGATGTAGTCATAACTACGCTTACATCACTCTGCTGAACAAATTGTCCTATATCACTTCTAGAAATCATACAGTGTCGTGCTCTCTTATTTGATTTTGCAAAGGGACACATATCTGTTGAGCCAGAGTGAGTAGAGATGCCTCGTACTAGTGTGAATAATGCAGACAATTTCTGATGTGTTTGTGGCTAAGTGACGTTTGCATCACAAAAGCTCAGTATAACCTCTATGGTTAAGAAAGCATATCACCCATAATTTGGCTGCAAATTTGGAGATCAGGACAAGAGGTAGGACCCACACATATGCTGAAACACTTATGCAGCAAATATTCGGCAGTGCTTTAACAGGAAAAGGAAATCTATGCTTTTTGCATTGCAAATGATTGGGAGAGAGCCAACAGATCATATCAGCAATTGTTTTTTCTGCATGAAGCCTCAATTTGGGAAAGGTGTGTCAAAGAAGAATAAGTGGACGACTGTGCCTTATCCATTTCATCAGCAATGCGCCCAGTAACCCACGGAGAAGGACTGCCGGTTCCTGGTGCACCATAATCATTCTCACTCGAGTCAGATGAGGAAGATAAAGAGAAAGAGGATGAAACGTTTAGTCCTGAACCATCAACGTCACATGACCCACATTTTCTCCCATTTTCCTCCTCCTCTGAACTTCATCACATGACAAAAGGTGAATTGAATGACCTTGTGAGGGATTTAGAACTATACAAGTGTAAGGCAATATTTTTGGACTCCAGACTACAGCAGTAAAATCTCCTAACAGTTGATGTTATGGTTTCCATGTTAAGTGACCGTCAAAAGAATATTGTCCATTTCTTCTTCATGCAAGGTGATCTTGTAGTCTGCTACAACATCGATGGTGTGATGGGAGCTTCAATATCGTTCATGATCCAGATGAGTGGAGACTGTTCATTGATTCATTGAAAACGAGTCTCAAATCTGTTTTGCTACAAAATGGCAATGTTTTGCCATCAATTAAAATAAATAAATTCCTTTGTATGAGGGCCTCAAGGTCGAATAGTTCTTTATCTAACTGTTATCCTCTTTAAATAAAGTCACCATTATTATTATTATTATTATTATTATTATTATTATTATTATTATTATTATTATTATTATTATTATTATTATTATTATTATTATTATTATTATCATTATTATTATTATTATTATTACAGTAGGTCATACAGTCCATATGAAGGAAACCTATGAAAACATGAAGCAACTTTTGAGGTGCATAAAAATGACCAGCATCAGTGTTGTGGTGATTTTAAGGTTATTGCTCTCTTGCTTGGTCTGCAGACTGGATACACAAAGTACTACTGTTTTCTCTGTGAATGGGAAAGTGCTTCGAGAGATTCCCACTACATCAAAAAGAATGGCCACTCCAACAGTCAGTGGAGCCTGGAAAGAAAGATGTTCAACATCATCCACTTGTTGAATCAAGGGAGACTTTGTTACCACCCTTGCACATCAACCTGGGTCTGATGAAAACCTTTGTGAGGCCATGGACAAAACACAAACAACTTTCAAATATTTCAATCGAATATTTCCATGGATAAGTGAAGATAAGATAAAGGAAGGTGTTTTTGTTGGTCCTCAGATTCGTGAACTTCTTCTAGATGTTACATTTGACTGTGCACTGGGTAGACATGAAAAGACGGCATGGAAAGCCGTCCAGTTAATGGCAACATGTTTTCTCGGAAACAACAAGGCAGACAACTAAAAGGAAAACCTCCTCAAGGCATACAATACCCTTGCTTGTAACATGTCACTAAAGAGCTTTTGCACTTTCATCTAGATTTTTCTCCACTCAACTGCAGGGCAATGAGCGAAGAGCGATTTCACCAGTACATTGCAACAATGGAGAAATGTTATCCGGGCAAATGGAGCCGATCAATGCTTGCAGACAATTGCTGGACAGTGACAAGAGATGCTCCATTTAAAGAATTCAAGAAACGAGCCAAGTAGACACTGAATAAGGACAAAATTATGTAATTACACACATGCACTTACACATACACACATAATTACACACACACACATATATATGTGTGTGTATGTGTGTGTAATTATGAGTGCATGTGTATATGTGTAATTACATTATATATATTATATGTGTATGTAATTATGTATGTATGTGTGTAATTATATTATATTATATTATATTATATTATATTATATTATATTATATTATATTATATTATATTATATTATATTATATTATATATATATTTTATTTTTGCCTTTTGTTTCATAATCAATGTTATTTATTTAACTCTTGCTGTCTTTTTAACGTGTTATTTAAACAGGACAGGTGAAATATTAACACTACTATCTACACAATATACATAAACATAATTTGAATTCAGCACATCCAACTTCATAACAAATAGAACATTTTATCTCTGAAGCAGACGACTTGTAAATATTGCATACCAGTGTAATAATAATAGCCAAATTTTAAACATTTATTTATCCCTTCATATCAGAGAAAAGTTTGAACCTAGTGATTTGACTGACAACACTTTCACTGTATTGTCACTAACAAAGATGTCGGCTTTCAATTGCCGTACTCAAATAAACTGAAAATTCCATATTTGGATTGACAAAAAGGCATTTTCTTCTCGAATCCATTTATCACACTGAAATCACAAATTACAATCTATTTTTGAGACTTTGACAAAAGTGACATTTAGATTTGAAGCAATACACATCATATACAACGATACAGTGACTCTGTCACCACCGCGTGAAACACTGTTGACATCCGGTGCCAATAATGTTTTTGTTATGTAATTCAGAAAGAGATACTGAAGTCTCGTTCTAGACATTGATAGACTGACAAAATCTCGTACGACTTCCTTATAAACTGTTTATGGAAATCACTAAATCACTTTACTTTGAAAGACTTTTTTTGAGCAGTTAACATGTATGAGTATTTATTATTATCTTTTGAACATTGATACCAATTTCCATCTATTATTTGGTATCACTTTTGATTTGGCATTTTAACATGTTTTAATTATAAGCTCGAGTTATATACGTGATTAAATACATTTAAAAATTTGACATTTATGACACATGATCCATCACTAAAATTTGTGTGAGAACAAAATACTGGACTGGATACAAAAGTATTAATTTTATTGATAATATGATATTATAATCTAATGATGTGGTTAAAGTACTTTCTTGCTGCTCTGTATAAGAGATCAATTTTGGGGTGCGAGCACATTTACTGATGCCAGTTTTCAATACCACAGAGAAACCTATTCAATCATAACGGCTTGAGCTGTCCATCTGTTCCAGTATATTTGGCCTTGACTCTAGGCTTGTTACAAGATGACACGTTAGAGGGTAGTTTATAGGGATGTCTAGCACTGGGGCATCATGCTACAGACATGTATCATTATAGCCCACCGAGTCACATTATTCTGACACCTGTCTGACCAGTTCTAAGAATAACCTTTTAATGCTGAGGGCTAATCGAGGCAGCTGTTAGTACCATTGTTAGTAAGTCTGTGGTAAGACTCAGCCAGGTTTCGAACCCACGACCTCAAGCATCCGAGACGGACACTCTAACCACTTAAGTCACAGGAGCCATGTGTATGTTTGAAAAGACTGCTATATGTGTGTTTGAAAAGATTGCTATATGTATATGTTTGAAAAGACTAATATTTGTGTATGTCTGGAACGACTGCTGTTTGTGTATGTTTGAAAAGACTGCTATATGTCTATGTTTGAAAAGATTGCTATTTGTACATGTTTGGAAAGACTGCTATTTGTGTAAGTTTGAAAAGACTGCTATATGTATATGTTTGAAAAGATTGCTATATGTATGTTTGAAAAGATTGCTATATGTGTATGTTTGAAAAGACTGCTATATGTGTATGTTTGAAAAGATTGTTATATGTGTATGTTTGAAAAGACTGCTATATGTGTATGTTTGAAAATTTTGCTATATGTATATGTTTGAAAAGATTGCTATATGTATGTTTGAAAAGACTGCTATATGTGTATGTTTGAAAAAGATTGCTATTTGTGTATGTTTGAAAAGACTGCTATTTGTGTATGTTTGAAAAGACTGCTATATGTGTATGTTTGAAAAGACTGCTATATGTGTATGTTTGAAAACACTGCAAATTAGATTTTGCTCATTTTCACTTCTTTGACTTCAGAGGTAGACTGAAATGAAATGAAAATAAAACAATAAATAAACGATTACTACGATAACTTTAACTTCGGCAAAATTCATTTTCAATATTTTAATAACTTATAAAGTTAGTGGGCTTGTGCCAATTTAAAATTTGTTTCATGAGCACGTGGGATAAGTCATTTCATTTTAATTCAACCATCTATTTTAGACTGCGCGATGGTTACATGATACCACATGTAAAGAAATTTTCAGTCATGGTACGATAAAGTAATGTAACGGAATGCCAAAAAAATCTCTATTGGCGTGTTGCAAATGCTCAAAGTTCAACATTGTACACGTCCCTCGTTCAGACGTACTTAACAACTGTGGGGAACAACCTTTAATAGTAAAACCGATCCATATATAATACAAGGCAAGACAATTAAATCTATCCAAAAACACTTTCGCATGAAGAGAGTGTTTCACATTCAGTATCAAACAACTGTATCAACTGAACGCCGACTATAGCAATATCAATTCTACTGACATGTTGATTTAATTATTTTGTTATTCACGTCTCATTTTATAATTGTAGAATTTTTTTAAAAGACAATTGTTAGGTCATTGATAATCGGAATATGTCTTCATTTTGCCTGCATAATAGTCAATTATTTCACGTGTTACTCTCGTCTCTAGCTCAGTCTTTGTACGTCTGTCTCTGTCCGTGTGAATAATACAGCAAGACAGAGTTAACAATTTTGAATATTAGCTTAAGAATGTTATGATATATTATTTCTTCTTAAAAGTAGTAGTTCAGGAGTAAGTCAGGCATGGTCAAGTATGGTTAGCTATGGCCATGCCACTACGGAGAAGGTAGTTTTATGGCTTAATGCATGCTGCTAAGTCCTGCTGCAAACGTTATTGTGGTAATCTTTATTCGTGTTGTTTTCTCTTTATAGCTAAAAGGTGTCAATAAAATAATGTTCATCTTTCTTTCCTTCCTTCCTTCATTCCTTCTTTTCTTCCTTCCTTCATTCCTTCTTTCTTTCTTTCTCTCATAAATAACGACTGCTTAAATTATCGTATTTATTGAGGACAACATCAACACGGCAACAAATTTGTTACCACAAATACATGGATACAGCACGAAACGGACTCATCAGCTAGAAAATCAACAGGCAGGAATAAAAAACGATTTAACAAATGCAATGTAAAACCCACTCATATGCCTTAGATATATATATATATATATATATATATTGAATTATATATATATATATATATATATATATATATATAATTATATATATATATATATATATATATATATAATTCAATATGCCGGAAAGTCTTCAATTACTAATTATTAACTTTCCGTGAATGGGTTTTACTTTAGTCTAATGTTGTGGTACGTGATTTCCGAAAAATTTCAAACGAATATTTAGGCTTTATTATCTGCTGAAAAGAATGTATATTTCCTTTTTTAATGCATTGACTTTAAATGGTTTGGACCTTTCAGATATTTTACCTCACTGTGGGGTTTTTGTTTTTACTGCTACTGTTGGCATCCCATTACTAATGGTGCTGCTGTTGTAACAACCCCCCCCCCCCCCAAAACCCCCCAAAAAACCTGGAGGATAAAATAGCTTCAGCCTCGTTTGAAAGTATTGTAATACGGAATCAGAAACCGATATTATTGTTTTCCTTCGTGAAGAAAAGGACGGTAAAATTCAGGCGCTTTCTGGGCTTGAACATTGATAAATATATAACAAGTGGCGTAGCTTGGGGAGGGCAAGAGGGGGGGGGGACAAATGCCCCTGGGCGCTTTGTACCAGGGGCGCCAAAATGAGTAAAATACAACTAAAGGTTTATAGTTGATTTTTGCCATTCCACTCTTGTGTTGTTTTAATGAGTAATGCTTGTAGTAGTACTTAAAATTTATATATGGCATCTGGTTTAAATATAGGGTTATCTCAGGTGCTCTCGAAGGGACCCCAAGTTTATGTTTTGTCCTCCGGCGCTCAGTACCCTCGCTCCACTACTGTATATAACGAAAGCAGAGATTAACCAAAACTCCTAAAATCTTTTCACTAGTGTAATCTCTATCCGTGATTGTCTGCATTGAAGATTTTGGCGGTTTTAATAAAACTCATTTTTGATGCGTTTCAATTTACTTTTTACACAGAAACAGTTCTTAGAGAAGAAGGACGGGTAAAACAAGATTGAATTTTGGAGTGGAAGACCATCATGGAAGAAATACATTTTCTGATTCGGAAATAGACGAATATTGTACATTAAGATAAAAGAACAAGAAGGAGAGAAAACAACCAAGTTTCTTCACCGATTCATTATCTGTACTCAAATTTGTTTAGCAAAACTGAAACAATTACACATGTTGTCGTCGCGACCAATCAGTTACATTTATACAGTGCTTGTCTTCTTTTTTTTAATGCAAAAATGACAACATGACTTCTCTCGACATCTCTGATAACGAGTCGTGGTGACTATCACCTAACAAATGATTATTTGAGGGATTGACCGTATTTTGTGTAGTACAAGGAAAAAAAGTTAACCACTAACAGGGTGTTCTCTCTTGTAATGTTACATAGTATGTTGGATCTGACCTTGTCCAAAGCTGAGTTTATATATACATATATACATACATATATATACATACATATATACATACATATATACAAACATATATATACATATATTCATACAATATACAAATATATATATATATAATTTATATGTATGTATATATATATATACATATATATAAATTATATACATATATATATGTATATAATTTATATATATGTATGTGTGCATATATATACACACACACACACATTGTTAATTGTGACCTGAGATCAGATAGAAGACTATAGCCTTGTAACTGAAGGGAAAATTCAGTCATGCATTAAGATGTAGCACTTTCAAGTTGTATTATCTCTTATGTCGAGATGGGCTGAAATTTGTGTTTTCAAATTATTGTATCGAAGTGATCATTTATAATTAAAATCAATAGTGAAATTTTTTGGATAGAGACATTTACTTGAATCTATAGTGGATTAAAACAACCTTAAATTTTATTACTGTTATTCAACAAAATATTGTTGGCACATTAACACACTAGGAGCTACTAGAGACATGTCATCGTCTTCAGTTTATTGTTTTTTTTGGGCATCTATCGAATTTTAAAAGGACTTTAAATTATTGGGACTTGTGTCTGTAATTCTTGGATTATTTTCGGATTTAATACTCTATACTGTATTTTTATATTCTCATTTTGTGTTCTAGTGAAATAATTTATTTGTTGAATTTGACAAAGCTTGATGAATTACACTCATTTATGTTACATATTTTAAGAGCATATACTAGTAAGTACACACACACACTTACACACTTACACACACACTTACACACACTCTTACACACACACATACACACACAACCGCAACAAGTCTTTATAGGCTGGTTGAGACAATGCATCTATATGTTAAATTCATGTAGAAACAGCCATGTAGAGTTTTTCAACCACAACGTTGTCTATGTTTTATTTCTTTGTTTTTTTCTCTGTTTTGTATATGCCTTTGAAAAAGACTCATTAAGAGTCGAAAGCGCTCAGGCTAGTTCGATACTGGTTTTGCACTGTTCGTCGTCAGTTTATTATATATATATATATATATATATATATATATATATATATATATATATATATATATATATATATATATATATATATATATATATATATATAAGATTTGTTCGAAGCAAGATTACCACCAACATATTAAAATAATTGGTTTGTTATTTTTAAGATGACTTGCAGATAAGTTTCAACATTTTTGGGTCGCAAAAAATAAAATTTACTCACTTTGCGATATTTTTTTATAGACTGAAATTAATGGGAAAGAAAAAGATATAATACTTCAAAATAACTGGTCCGATCGCATAGGAATACTTCTTCACCATGATCATAAATGAACTATATTGAAAGCAAACGATTAAGGGTGTGAGATTTCCACAGGTGAAGACGAAAAGTGAAAGCTACGTCAAAACAAAGCTGCTTACATAATACATCGATTGAGTTAAATTATCTGAGGAGAAAAAACGTCAAAGGAAGAACGAAGGAGTTAAACATCGGATGAGTAACGGGGATGAAAACATCGTATGAGGAACTGAAGAGGAAAATATCACAGGAGCAATGGAGGAAGAAAACATTATGGGAAGAGTTTTCGTTATATACATTTTAAACACTTTCTTTATTGCAGATTTAGGAGAAAATGAAAATTTTAGAAGGGAAAACATCAATAATCGGATTGCATTAAAATATGAAGGTTTACATATTTAGATAACAAAACAATTCACATTGGTTTTATAATAGCTTACCTTAATTAAGTGACTTTAATGTCCTTGTAAATGGAGCTCATTTAAGAAATCCATTCATGGTATGGTCAT